TCACACGACATGCTCCGGTTGCTTGGGGCAAAGATAAGTGCACGCCCACAGCTGTTACTATAGGAGAGGGAGTGAGAGTGAAGAGATAACACCTGCTGATGCACGGACACTGCTGCTGACAACGCCGGATGCCTGACATTGCCCGACTAAAAAATGTATTCGCATTTAAAATGCATTGAAGTTGGCCTTTTGAAGCTCGCCACTTCCCCGAAAGGCTCCTGAGATGTTAGAATTTTTCACAGAAAATACTCATAAAAAAAGTTCACTTTTCCGAGCGATCATTTCTGAAGCGGTGACCTCGCAAACATTTGAGAGTATGCTTGCGGAAGGGTCCAACCTTGCTAGAAGAAAATTACCCATTCATCATCCATATCGCAACACTTGCTAGGCACATGCCCTTGAGAAGTGCAAACTTTTTCAGCTGACATTGAGGTGTTTAATAATTCTCTACCCCAGGCAGCTCTTGCTGAAACCGTTAAAAGGTATTCAAAAGCACAGAGCAACTTGCTTTTAGAGCGCGGTAGGCACCAGCATCAACAGGCTCATGAAGCCGCTTTTGCTCTACCTCTTTTCTACCAACACCGGACAAGATGATATCCGGTATGTACAGCAAAATGGTGTCTGCATTGGGTCTTGCATAGCCAGAAGTTGGAGTGACCAGTTTCTAGCTCGTAACAAAGGAAACTGCAAGAAGCCATCTGGCGATTTGGTGTGAATATCTTCTAGTTTGTGAATGATTTTCTGGTTTCGTTCTCAGCAACTTCTGAATACACCAGTGGCAACATAGATAAAATATTTGTCCCCTTTTGAACATAAGTTTTCTGTCACTAAAGAGCTACCGGTGCATGGCGATTTCAAAGGATATCCACAAGTTATCATTTGGTGCAGTGCACACGTGGTGGCAGTATGCACCCCACTCAGATAACGACCTTCTTAAATTTACATTTCATCATTGCAAGCTCATGAAATGTGCCATTGTGTTATCTGCATTGAGGAATGACTTAATTAGCCCAGTAAAAAAAGTTCGAGTGGTCCAATTGAAAAAATACCAATTGACACCAATTGGTTTTCAATCCATTGAAATCTCGCACCAGTTCGAAAAGTACTAATTATATATAATTGGTGGACCAGTTCATACTCAATTAGTTATTACCACTCGGACAGAACTGGTGGCTGATTGGTTGACCAATTGATGTAGGCGGAGGACCGATTGGTCATCCAATTAAAGCTAACTGGTGCCCAAATGACTTACCAGTTAAAGTGACCTGATATGCAACTGGTAATCCAGTTAATCATAAATGGTCCCGCACTTCAAACTAGGTGGTGTTTAATTGGTTAACCAATTCTAATAGATGTAGTCATCCAATTGAAGCTAGCTGGTGTCTTAATGGTTTGCCAGTTGAAGAGAACTGGTGCCCAACTAGAAGGTCAGTCGAACGCACATGTGTACAATTGGTTAAGCAATCGAATAGATGTGGTTATTCAATTAAAAATAGCAAGTGCTCAACTGGTCAGCAAGTTAAAATAGACAGGCTCCCAACTGGTTAAATGGCTGAGTGCAAATGGTCATCTAATGAAAGCAAACTGATGCTCAACATGAAGAGCCTTTTTAGGCAACAATAGTTCGGCAAAAATGTCTCGTACAGAGCGAGCTTCGTAGCACAACTCCCAATTCCTGCTAGCAAGGGTATTTTTACTCAAACTGCTGCTCATTCTGCAGTAGCTTCTGGAAAAGAGGTCGCTGATATATTCTTGTTGCTCAGAGTTCTTTTTTTATTCCGTGTTGCATCAGCAATCATGCAGGCAGACTGCTTGAAAGAAAAATATGATAAGACAGAGAAAAAATTGCGCTACATGGCTGTAGTAAAAAGGTTACTACACTAGTCTAAAACGCTGCAACTGCACGCTCTGGCACTTTCCAGATTGGGTAGTTCGAGATAGTCCACACGTGAGCATTCGTCCTAAGCAGTCATGCATGCCAACATGAACAGTACGATTCGGAGTGCATTATCCAAGTGTTCTAGACGAGTGTGGTTATCTGTACACGAAGGATGGAAATGTTATCAATGTAACAAGATTTACTGTGTACAGTAGCTCCCACACTTCATGCTGGCTCCGCCCGTGCACCGTGTTCGCTGCAGTCGCGAGCCAACACTAGTAAGGGTAACGAACAAAATGTGCAAAAAGTGCTAATAATACAGCAGTTAAAGTGATTCAAAAGCAAGATACTTGCCTTGATTGTAAAAAAATAGGACTGAATCAAAGGATCAGGCCAACACGATTACTGCAAAGACGCTGGATGTAAAAGACCCCGATAAAGCTTGCGACTTGTGTCCACTGCGGTGGTGTGCAGTCTAGTAGTGATGATGATGCTGATGGCACTTGCTGCAGTGCTTGCACTGTGAGTGCATGCACTTTTATGAAAATATAAACTACACAACTATTGCTTTTGTCAAAAAACAATACAAAAGTTTGTAATGAGAAATTAATTTTTAAAGTGTACTTTGACCTTACTTTACCGCTTCGAATGCAGCGTTTTTCGAAGGGTTGTTAGTACTAAACCAACACTTGCTCAGCCGCTTTCTTACTCTGTTTTTGTATTAATAAACTGCGGTGGCTGCTCGCATCATAAAGATCTGATGTGGAAAGAAATGTTTGTAGCAGATATAGTACTATAGTAAGGTGTTTTATAATTTTGGAAAAGATATTACAAAATTTTTACCACCTTAGTCATTGTCGATTTCACAAAACTTGCACATGGCGCTTCATAGGGTTAACCAGTTGAAGAGAACTGGTCTTCAGCTGGTCAGCCAGTTTAAATTCCTTGTTTCTACTATACAACCAGTTGAACACTTACAACATGAGGTGTTTACAACTAGAATATTTCCAATAAAGGGTCTCCTCTATTTGCAAAGTATTTCCCCATTCGGGTGTGCTTATTCAATTGGACCAACAAGCATTCCAATTGAGAGGCCAGTTAGAATTCAGTATTCCTATGGTTTACCGATTAGGATGTGTACAACCGATCGGACTGACAAGCATTCCGATTGGGGGACCAATCGGAAACTGGTGTTGGAAAGTATTTTCCCATTTGGGTGTGCTTATTCAATTGGACCAACAAGCATTCCAATTGAGAGGCCGGTTAGAATTCACTATTCCAATGGTTTACCGATTAGGATGTGTGCAACCGATTGGACTGACAAGCATTCCGATTGGGGGACCAATCGGAAACTGGTGGACCTATTCGAATGATCGATCGTAACTGTGTGGTCCAACTGATCCTCCACATTGAAGCACCACATCTCAGTTGCTTTATAATTCATTCCATTTAGGACCAATTGCTATGAACTGGTATGACCAATTGGACCAATTCACTTTTTTCACTGGGAGTTCATGCTCTCAAGGTTTGCAGAGTTTAAAAGCAGAAAATTTAAGAATATTTAAGGACTTCAAGACCCTTCGGAAGTAGCTTTAAGGCCCTCGTCATGAGCTTAATTTTTCTTGTTTGTCAAATATTTTGAAACAGTGCATCTTGGGAAGCGTCAGCTCTGTTTAGTGTTTTTACGCTGCGTTTCTTTCATTGCATGCGCTTGCCAGAATGCACAGGTTCTACATCCAACAAGTCATCTAAATTTAAGGGTTAAGCATTAAATGACCTGAAAAGGTCCGATACATTTATTCCGCAAAAAAATACATGTAGACCTGGGCATGTTGGTAATCGATTTCCCCGTGTTCAGCACTCTGTGAAACAGGACAGAGAACTAAATAATGACAGGGACACAGTGCTACGTCAGTGATGTTCTTTTGTTATTTGTCTTGTTCTACAGTGCACTAAAATTGTGAAAAATACATGTCACAATCCAAATCTACATGTATTGCATGCAAAAAAATAAAATAAAATTAGTGTTAGCAAACATCACAATGTCAGCTGCTTCAACTCAGTAAAGTGATCGACTGAAGCTAGTTAAGCGATGCTTCTGGAGCATTAAAATATCCCTTGTAGGAGCATAATGTTGTTTGGAAGCTATTGCCAAGCAAACATTTTCCACCGCGAATTTGTTTCTAAGCTTCATCAGTCGTACTACATGTTTAACAAAATCGGTATACGGGGTATACAGGGTGTTTCAAGAAATGTGTCTAAAACACTCAAAAACCAAATACGATATTTTATATGCATTCAAAAGTACATATTCTGTAGCAACAAGCATCTTAAGATGATTAAAGACTATTCATACCGTAATTAACAAAGTTGAATACTCTACATTTTAATTAGTGGGGTTCGGTGATCATGTCAAATAGGATAACTGAAGCTTTTCATTCAAAGAAACCATCCCAGCTTTGAGATATGAAAGAAGTGGCTTGTAAAGATAATTGCACAATAAGTAAATTCAACTGATTTCAACAGTGAAACCAAAACTGTAGCACAGATAAGTGCAACAAACAGATGACCAGAATGACATCAACATTCAAGACAATAAGTGCAGACGCGTATTTATGCATCATGTATCTTATAATTGCAAGCAGAGCACGCACCCACGGAATGAAGTCGGTTATGATTGATATAACTACGCTCACACATTCTAGACATCTGAGAACCACATAGCAGTTGCACTCTTCTCTGTTTTTGTTTAAGTTTCGCAGCTGAATTTGGGTGAACGTTTTTACTTTGCAATTATTACTAGAGGCCAGTTTTTCAAGATCTCAAAACTGCAATGGGTTCTACACATAAGCACTTAAATTTTCTCGTTTCACATGACCATCTAACTCTTCTAATCAAAAAGCTGATTTGTTTAACATTTTGAAAGTTAAATTAGTTATATGGAAAAAAATGAGTGCAGTAAGTGTTACAACTAAAGCAAAAAACTTGTCTTCAAACACTGCAACTGAATGTACTCATTAAGTAAACACCAAGCTCTGTATGTCTGCAGAATTCTAATAAGCAGCTCCCCTCTGCACAATGGTAACTGCAAACATGCAAGAAAAACCAAAGAAAGGCCCACCTTGCATAGCATACACATCGAGGGCATTTATGCCAGACTGGTGACGACGAAAAACACCTATCAGGTCGCACTTCGAGCTTTCCAGCTTCCAGAAACGAAGCAGCCCGTCGTTGCCAGATGACAGGAGCAGAGATGACTGCAGATGAAATGGAAGAAATGTGCAGACATATTTTTATTAAAGTTCACAAATAATAAAAATGTACTCGTCAGTCATAAGGATGTTAAGCACCAGTCTTGCATCATTAAAAGTTGTTTCCAAGTGAAAAAGAATGGACTAGTTTCGTTATTCAAGACATTGAATAATGATGTGGCTAACAAAAGCATACGTAAAACATTCACTCAAGACATTTGCGAAAAGACACTTTGCATTCAACAAGCTAAGCAGCTGCTCCACGCACAGGTATAGTTATTCGATCACTATTTGAGCTAGAAGTATCGTAATAAAATAGGTTCGTTTGAGATACTATTACTTGTACATGACCACCCAATAACTGCTCTTATAAAGACTTGGCTTTGTAAGGATGTTGTCACGGAATCATGATACTGACGAAGGCAGTGGTTGGCTTATCCAGGATGAAGCTCTTTATTTGGTGGAATTTATGGCCCGTAGAAGGAGAGGAAGAATACGGTAAGCAATGCAAACTGTACACTAGTATCGGCGAAAAGAGAATCGCTGGTCGATAATCTGATCATCGTTGGGACGCACCGTATTTTATACATCATGTATTGAACTTTCCAGGCCTATCACTGGTGGTCACACAAGCTCTGAAATAAGATTAAGTATTCACATCCTGTGCACAATCTTAACAAGACTATCTACTAAAATTCTGAAACATCTCGAACACTGGGGCACGGTCTACGCCGAGCATAGTGGACATGTACGACCTCAGGATATGCCCGGGATCGATGAGATTTTGCGATGTTGGCGGGGATGACGTAGTCGAGTGCACAAACACGTCAATGTACCCTACACTCTAAAAAAAAATGGAGCATTCAGGGAGTAGTTCTGCTACGCAACAATAATCGCCCTCTGACTTGCTCGCATTTCCTTTCTTCAAAACCCAGTGCTGGTCACCTTCATATCGAGAATGCTATGTCACACCTATAGCATGCATGCAGTTAGCGACCCCGAACTACCCGAATCGTGGTGATTGCGCGAGGAAAGTACTCGAAGTAGATGACGATTATTGTTGTGTAGCAGAAGCACTCCCCAAATACTCAATTTTTTTAGAGTGTGTACGGTTTGAGGTATCGTTGAACAAGCTTCTCGCAAAGTCCCCATTGGCGTATTGGCATCCAGACCCCCACATTATCACTGGGTTGGTAACGCATGGCATCGTCAAATATTGTTGTGATGGCTGTCGGTCTTTTCGTCTTTTGCTGGCGACAAACAGGTGAGTTGTCTAGCTTTCTCTGCGTGCTGAAGTACAGCTTTCCAGATTAGGCATGCTGTTGCTATGGCCGTGCCAATCAGTGCATCGCCCAGTGGAGGACTGTAATTTTGTCGCCTCACTCCACCATGGTGGTCTAGTGGCTAAAGTACTTGGCTGCTGACCAGCAGGTTGTGGGATCAAATCCCGGCTGTGGCAGCTGCATTTTCGATGAGGGCAGAAATGCCCGCGTGCTCAGATTTGGGTGCACGCTAAAGAACCCCCGGTGGTCGAAATTACCAGATCCCTCCAATACGGGGGTCTCTCATAATCATATAGTGGTTTTGGAACGTTAAATGACACATATCAATCAATCAATTTTGACGCCTCCAGAAGCTGCCACAAGATGGTGATATTTTCGCATGAGTTCGGGCTAGCAGTGTGGGCAACATAGCATCAAAGAGCATTATTTATTTATTTATTGATTGATTTAAATACCTTAAGAGCCCGGAGGGCATTACATAAGGGGGATACATACAAGAGGTTACTATAGCATCAGTAAAACAACATGTCAGGGAGTAATACTAGTAATCAAACAGACCGATAGCCCAAGCAACATTACTAATAACACAATAAGCAAAAAACACAGTAAGCAGCCCACCATAACAGGAAACATATTTCAAGAAATAGCAATAAACATTCTCTAAGCATGCGTTACACATTAAATGTCAATGGTGGTTACAAATTATTGTCAACTTCTAAGTAAGTTAGTACTGAAGACTGGAAAAGGGAGGGTTCTGTAATAGCGACAATGTTTGAGGGCAGCGCGTTCCACTCGTTAATGGATAACAGCAGAGGTGAAAATTGGTATTTCTTAGTGCGTGAATATATTGGATTGACCTTATGTGCATGACCAACGCGATCAGAAACGTAGGGAGCCGGGTGAATGAATGATCGGGAAAATGACGAGTCACTATGATATAAACTATGGAAAAAACATAGGCGGGACAACTTTCTGCGCGTGGCAAGCAATGGAAGGTTCAGAGAACGCTTAAGACATGTTACGCTTTGGTGACGAGAATGACAGGAGGTGATAAACCGAGCTGCTTTATTTTGTACCGATTCTAGCATATCAGATAACATTGCCGTGTGTGGATGCCAGATGGTTGACGCATACTCTAGTGAAGGCCTGATCAGAGCTTGATATGCGTGAAGTTTAGTTTTCAAGTTTGCGCATCTGAGACGGCGTTTCAAAAGACCGAGTTTTTTTGATGATTTGCTGGTGATGTATTCAATGTGACTGTTTCAGGTTAGGTCGGAACTAAAGAAAATGCCGAGGTATTTTGTGGATGAAACGGTCTCAATTACGGTGCTATTGACTATGTATCTGATGGATGATGAGGGGTTGGCTACAGAAGTAGATCTAATATGTTTGGTTTTTTCAGCGTTGATGTGCATCTGCCACAAATTGCACCACTCTGTGAGTTTTAACAAATCTGACTGTAGGATGCTACTGTCATTCGGTTCGGTAATCTCCTTATATACAATGCAATCATCTGCGAATAGGCGTAGAGAAGAAATAATATTAGATCCAATGTCATTGATGTAGACCAAAAATAATAATGGTCCAAGCACGGAGCCCTGGGGGACACCGGATTTTACCATGCACTTTCTGGAAATTATGTGGTTAAGTCTGACCGATTGCGAAAAGTGAGAGAGGCAGAAAAGATTTATTGGATGACAGCGATGAAAAAGAAGCTGGCTCTCAGTAACTGAGAAATGAAAAAAAAAAAAAAAAAATAAGTAAGGAGACATTTTATGATAATTAAAGGAGAAGTACTTTACTGTTCGAAGCGAGGTCGAGTTGCCTTACTCATAAAGCGAGATTCAATAAAGGACGTTAAGAAAACGATGAAACATGTTCTGATTGAATGCGTCGATATTCACCCAGGTATATGTGTGGGTACAAACCTACATGAGGCTTTCGGTTTCATCGACAAACATGAAAAGCTGAACACACCGCAATAGAAGCAAGTAAGAGATGGTTAGAGTATTGGTGGCAGAAAAGTAGAGATAAGGGACAGGAATAGTCAGAAAATGAAGTCAAATGAAGGCAGAGAGATGGAACCCAAATTTATATTTCTTTTTGTTATAGTAAGATCAATCTAATAGAAGTAGATAAGACATTAGGCTCTCATACCGCCTTGGGATCTGACACCAACACGGCTGCTAAACACTTACATCGCGTACTTCTTCAGGCTCTGCAGATGGTGATGACCTTCTACGCATTTGGCGCGGAGCAGCTTTTAGACAATGCAGACAGAGCCGCTTTGGATGTGTGCCCTGCTTTGCAATTCTTCACAGAAGCATGCCTTCTTTTCGAAATGACGGCGCTGCCGTCGCTGTTCGACTACCACTAGCTGACTGGCAACCTGGCACATCGAAACTCAAAGTCACACTACATAAATTGCCACCCCTGCATACTGCCTTGGGATCTGGCGACGACATGGCCGCTGGACACTTACGTCTTGTACTTCTTTAGGTTAGTTTTTCCTATCGCCCTGTTAATGGTAAACCATTTCGAAAATTGGCGCTGAATCCCAATTCCACCTTGAATTTCTGTATACGCATTTTTATCGTATGAATCAAGTGTGCAATATCTGCGAAAACTACTGCAGCTTGCAGGGGATTTGGAACAAAGCCCAGGCCCTTTGACTTCTGAGCAAGAAAATTAATTGTTTACTGTTGTTATGGCAATTCCTACCGTGCTACAAAAACAGTTTGAAATTCTCGGGAAACTTCGTTCCGTAGCGTCATGGCAAGAAGCGTTCGAGCAAAAGTTTTTGCAGGTAGAAGGCAAATTGAATGTCTTTGAAGGCAAATTGTTATTGGTGCTTCCACTAAAAGATAAAGTGAGGCAGTAAACTATGCAGACCAACAATCTTGCTGCCACTTTTTCAAAGCTGCATGAATTGGAAGATGATTTAGAAAATAAATTTCGAAAAAACAACCTTATCTTTTTTTGTCCTTCAAGATGCAGCCAGTGAAACCTGGCGGGATTCGGAGACCAAGGTGCTTGCTTTTTGCGGGAAAAATTGAAAGTATCAATTTCATCTGATTCTGTGGAGAGGGCTCACAGGCTCGGTCACTTTACAACAACAAAAAACAGGCCTATTATAGTTCGGTTTCTTTCGTTTAAATAGAAGCAGCATGTTTTGTCAGCAACTTCGCAGCTGAAGGGTACAAGCTTTGCTGCTAGCGAGGACTATAGTAACAAAGTTGGACTAGAGAGGCGAAAATTATTTCAGTACACCAGTGTTTTTCAAATGAGGGTCCACCGCAGACCCCCTAGGGTCTGCAAAGCCATTTCTATGAACCGTGAATCCCACACCCGCATTTTTCTTTAAGCGTCACTGTGCTGTATTGATGAACTGTTCAAAATAAAGTAATGTGGCACGTTTGCTTGATGCTTTTGATAGCAATAAAAGGCACCTGTTTCACGATCTAGTTGTGTTAATTTACCTACGTACTCCCCCCCTCCCTCTCCTTCGCTGCAAGGGGTCCCCCATCACTTCCACCAGTCCACAAGGTGTCCCCGACACATCCATGACGGAGAACTACTGCTACACTAAAAGTAAGGGAGGCGACTTCAGGCTATCTAAAGATTGCTATCTAAAGGCTATTTAAACAAACTAAAGATTGGAATAGAAACTTTTGTTTATAATGCTGAGACCAACAGTGTGAATAAAATTAAGCCACAGCAATT